TTTTTTTCTGTAAAACAATACAAGAAACAAAAGCAAAAGTTAATGAAAACATTTACCTAAAAGGTTTAGGGGACTGCGATAGGAAATGAGATTTCTCTGAGTATAACTTTTTACAGTTGGGTTGTGTAGCTATCATATTTATTTTGTTGTTTCTTTGAGTTGTGTCTGAGTCTTTCCAACTCCATGGACTGACACCTGCCAGGCTCCTCTGTCGATGGGATTCTCCAGGCAAGAATGCTGGAGTGGGTTGCCATTTCCTCCTCCAGGGGATCTTCCCAACCCAGGGATCAAACCCACGTCTCCTGCTTGGCAGGTGGATTTTTTTTACCACTGAGTCACCTGGGAAGCCCCACCATATTTATAATTGTCTTTTATTCACACCCCTTCTCTCTCTGTCTCTTTTTTTTTCGGGGTCAGGGGGTGGGGGTGGGTCTTTGTTATTTCTCCTGCCTTTGCCACCTCGAATTAAGCATTTTATGTGATTCAATTTACTCTCCTCTATTAGTATGTCAATTATATTTCCTTTAAGAAGTGTCTCAGTGATTTCAACATATATTTACAGCTAGTCCAAGTCTACCTTCAGATAGCACTACACTACATCCTTACAACAGAGTATTCCCAATTTCTGTTATAGCATTGGTGTCATGCATTTCACTTCTCTGTCAGTTGTGAACACCCAGTTCATTGTTGCTATTATTATTTTGAAGTTATCAGCTCAATTAAGAATAATAAAATATTTTGAAATTTTATCTTATTTCTTCTCCACTGGTCTTTCCTTCTTTATGCAGATCTGAGTTTCCGCTCTAAAAATCATTTTACTTCTCTCTGAAGGATTTCTTTTTAGCATTTCTTAGCAAGGTGGGTTTACTGGCAATAAATTCCTCATTTTTTGTTTGTTTGAGAAAGTGTTTCTTCTTAATTTTTTAAGTATAACTTCGCTAGATAGAGTTTCAAGGCTGGAAGTCTTTTTTTTTTTTCTTTTAACACATTCAACATTCCACTCCATCCTTTTTTGCTTGCATGGTTTGTGAAGAGATCTGTGAGGTAAATTCTCATCTTATTCCTCTATAGGTAAGTTGTTTTCTTTCTCTGTCTTTGAAGACTTTTCTCTTTGTCGCTGATTTTCTGCAGTTTGAATGTGATTTACTTAGGTGTAGATGCCTCGGGATGTATCCTTCTTGGCGTTCTCCTGTAGTTGTAGTTTGGTGCATGTCATTAATTTTGAAACATCATCAGTCATTATTACTTTAAATCTTCCTTCTATTTTTCCTGTTTCTTTTCCTGTTTTCCCCATTACACAAAATTCTGTACCGTTTGTAATCATCCCACAGCTGTTAGGTATTCTGTCCCTTGTTGATCTTTCTCTTTGTATTTCAGTTTGGGAAGTGTCTTCTGACATTTTTCAAGCTCAGTGGTTTTCCTTGACCGTGTTCGGTCGACTGACTTGCCCATCAAAAGCACCCTCCATGGAGCTGTCCTGGCGGTCCAGTGGTTAAGCCTTCGCCTTCCAATGTAGGGGATGTGGGTCTGATCCATGGCTGGGGGACTAAGATCCCACATGCCTCATGACCAAAAAAGCAAAAACATAAAACAGAAGCACTGTTGTAACAAATTCAATAAAGACTTAAAAAATGGTCCACATCAAAAAATCTTTAAAAAAAAAAAATCCTTCATTTCTGTTACTTTTTTTTTTTTTAGCATTTCCCAGTGATGCAAGCAGAGAGATGAAAATGCTAATAATGAAGTTCATCTCTGCTTACATCACCCGTCTTTTGTTGCATGTTACTGCTTTTTCCATTAGATCCCTCAGCATCTTAATCATTGTTATTAAAACCCCCAGCCTGGTAATTTCAACACCTGTGTCGCACCTGAGTTTGATTCTGGTGCTTGTTTTAGTCTTTTCAGACTGAGTTCCCCTCCCCCTCCCCGGCCTTTTATCATACCTGTAATTTTTTTTTGAAAGTCGGAACATGGCATATCAGGCAAGAGGAGCTGAAGTGAGTCGGCTTTTGCGTTCATTGTGAGGTTTTCTGTTTACCGGCTGGAGGTTAGGCTGTGTTAATGCTTGCAGCAGCTTCAGTATCAGAGGCTTCCCTTGCCTCTGGTGTCCTTGCTTTTTTTCTCCCTGTGTCTCTGAGTTTCCCTGGAAACTTCTTTTTAAATAGAGTCTGTGTCTTGCAGATTTCTCAGTTGTAATTCACTATGATTATGCCGGAGCCCTACTGATGTGGTGGTGAGGCGCTGGGGAGCAGAGACATTCTATCATCTTATGATTAAATCTCAGGCCTTTTTCTGTTTGGGTTTTGGTTGTTTTTTGTTTTTCAGGGGACCTGAGTCCATGGGCCGCAACCTTCAGAAGTCTTTACCAGCTGTTTTCCCCTCAACTTACGTGAGACAGGGAGGCTAGAGTTGGCTTCAGCTGTCTAATTGACCTTACCCTAGATCAGACAGGGTCTGGAAGTTTCCTTTGAGAATAGGCCTGTGTGGCTGAGAAGTGAATGTTCTGGGTATAAATAAAAGATAAAACTTGTGTAATTGGGGGACCCCCAAAACTGGGCCCTCAGGAATTTAAATTCTCCAGGAGCTGCTGTTCCCCATAAGCTGTTTTCCTCTGTATTCACCCCTCTCTCCAACCCTCAAAGCAGAGGTTCACCCTGTGACGTCAGTTCCATGAGGGATCTAAGGAGAGTTGTTGCTCAATTTGTTCAGCAGGTTTTCTTCTTGGGATGATGGGAGTGATAACTTGGGAGGATGGGAACTGAAAGTTGGAAATCAGGTTCCCATTTTCTTTTCTTGCTTTCTTATAGGCTACATAATCATTTTTTTTTTCTATTGCCATTTTGTTATAGTGCCTGTGACGAAGGCATCTCTTTTATAGATTTTTTCATTGTTGCTCTAGGTATTATGTTATACTTACAAAATATTTAACAGTCTACTGGTATCTATATTTCAGCAGATTGAGCACATGTAGAAATTTTACTTATTTTTAATATTCCTTTATCCTCCCCTATTATGATAAAGCAATCTTGGAGAATCACATCAGTGTTGCAATTTTCGCTTTAACCATCAAGCATAATTTGGAGATTTCAAGAGGAAAAGTCCACTGTGTTTTGTTATTTCCTTGTGTTCTGAGATTCCTTCTTTTATCATTCTCTTTCTGTTTATAAAACTCCCTTTAGCTAGTCTTTTAGCATTGTTCTACTGGTGACAGATTCTTTTAGTTTCTAGACATTCCAAAAAGTCTTGATTTTTCCTCCATTCCTGCGGGAGTTTTCCCTGGATATAAAATTCTGAACTGGCAGTCCTTTTCTTTCAGCACTTGAGAAATGTCGTGTCACTGCTCCTGGCCTCTGAGGTTTCTGGTGGGAAATCCACTCTTGTCTGAATTGCCTTTTCCCCTTTAGATAAGGTCTCATTTCTCTCACTGCTATCAAGGTTTTTTTTTTTTCTTTTCCTTTTTTCTTTTTCAGCCAAAGGGTTTTCATAAATTTGCTTATGATTTCTTTTAGTATATATGGATTTCTTTTAGTATATCCTATTTAGGGTTTACTCAGCTTCTTGAATCTGTCAATTTGTGTCTTTTGCCAAATTGGGGGACTTTTTAGCCATTATTTCTTTGAAGACTTTTCCAGTCCCGCCCATTTCCTCCTCTTTTTCTGGAACTCAGATAGCATGAATATAGGTATTTTGTTATTGTGCGGCAGGTTCCTCAGTCTCTGTTCTTGTTGTCTGTGTATTTTCTCTGTTGTTCTGATTTGTTCATTTTAATTCTCTCTTCACATTCACTCTTTCTGTCCTCTGCATTCTTCTCTTAAGCCTATCCACTGAGGTTTTTATTTTGATTATTGTATTTTTCAGTCTTTAAATTTTTATTTTAAAAATTGTTTTCCATTTCTGTGCTGAGACTTTCTTATATTTTCACTTGTTTCAAGTATGTTCATAATTGGTCACTGAAGCATTTTATGATGAGTGCTTTAAAATCTTTGTCAGACAGTTCTAACACCTGCATCATCTCCATGTTGGCATCTGTCATAGTTTGCCAGGACTGTCACAACAAATTACCTTAAACTCGGTGACTTGAAGCAGCAATATTTATTCTTTCGCAGTTCTAATGGCTAGAAGTCTGAGATCGAGGTGTCAGCAGGACTGGCTCCTTCTAGAGGGTCTGAGGCAGCCGCCAGCATCCTTGTCACTCCTTGGCTTGTAGGTGCAATTTCTGCCTCTTGTCTTCATATGGCTTTCTTCTTTATCAATCTCGCTGTGTCCTTACTCCTGTAAGAACAGGAGAAGTGCGTGTTCAGTCATGTCCAACTCTTTGTGACCCCATGAATTGTAGCCCACCAGGGTCTTCTGTCTGTGGGATTTTCCAGGCAAGCATATAGGAGTGGGTTGCATGCCCTTCTCCAGGGGATTTTCCCAACCAAGTGATTGAATCTACGTCTCCTGCATTGGCAGGCAGATTCTTTACCACTGTGCCACCTGGGAATCCAATAAGATTAGGAGAGGAATCACCTACATGCATGGCGATTTCATCTGGACATCCTTAACCAGGGACATCTGCAAAGACCCTATTTCCAGATACTGAATTGAAAGTGTTAGTCGCTCAGCTGTGTCTGACTCTCTGTGATCCCATGCACTGTAGTCCACCAGGCTCCTCTGTCCTTGGAATTCTCCAGGCAAGAATACTGGAGTGGGTTGCCATTCCCTTCTTCAGGGGGATCTTCCCAGCCCAGGGATCGAACCCAGGTCTCCTAATTGCAGGCAGATTCTGTACCATCTGAGACCCCTGGGAAGCCCATTTCCAGGGAAGTCATATTCTGAGGTTCCCGGTGAGCATGGACTTTGGGGGGATGCCCTTCAACACAGGACAGCTCTGCTGATTCACCTTTTCTCATTTGAGTTGAGTCTTGTTGTTCTTTATATGATGAGTAAAACCCGATTGAAGCATGACATTTCGAGTGTTACGTTATGAGAGCCTGGGTGTTATTTGAGCTTCTGCCTTAGTCCGCCTTTTCCAACTCCTTCAGCTGCTGGCGGGGTCCTCCCCGTGTCGCCCCCAGTGGAGGCGGGGGGAACGCAGGTCTCCCACTTGGCGTGCAGTGACATCCGAGGGAGAGGTGTTCCTCGGCAGAGCTGGGAAGCGGGCTCAGGCTCCCCAGCAGCCACCACTGCGGCCCCGGCTGGTGGGCACGTGGCACTGCCTCACCCCTTTCTGCGTGGTGTCCACCGTCATCACGCGAAGGGGGCCTTGTTGCCACTGGCCGATGCCGATCGGTCTGATTCTCCTCTTGGCTCTTCTGACGCCACTGCAGCAGGGAGGTGGACGGTCGTGTCATCCTGCCGGGCATAGGTGGACGTTCAGGCCCCGCCCCGTGGTCTCCAGTGACACTGTGGGGTGGGGCCTCATACCCTTCAGTGGGGCTGAAAGTTCTGGCTTTCACTCGGCCTTTGTTGGTGGACTGCTGAGCGCAGGTGGGGTCACTGTCTCCTGTGACGTTTGCCTGCAGTCGAGCAGCTGTTGTCTTAAAATTTTCTTTCTAGGCTGCCCCTTTCCTGTTTCATTAGTTAGAGAATGCTGGCTTTCCTTGGGATTTTTTTTTTTTTTTTGTCTGTGCCTTTTGGTGCTCCCAAATCGCTGGCTTTTCCAGTGGGATGTACAAGGGATAGATGAAGCAGAGGGAGACTGAAACACTCAGAGCTGCGTCTCATTCTCCTTTCCTCAGACCTCTGCCTTCCTCTCTTTACCTTTCAGCTTCTTTCTGTATTTGTTTTCAATATGATGTACAAGGTTTTGGGGAAAAGTCCATGAATTCTATCTTTCTGTGAGTGGAAGTTCCTATTTCCAGGATTTTTTTATTTTTAAAAATCTTGCTTTTTTCACTCACTCTTATCGGCCTCCTGTTACCTTGGTCATGTTCAATGGGCATCATTCTTTTTATCTCTGAGGATTGTAATCATACTTATTTTAAGTCCATTTCATGTTACTGTCACATTTTCATTTCCTTGGGATTGATGAATTTGTTGGTCATCTCCTATAAGACATGCTTTGGAATTTTCATTTGAAAGCTCATCTTGAAGTTCTGTCTGTTTACAGGTACATTTCCCCTCCCTGGGATGGCCCCACTGTGACCAGCAGTTTTGCAGGGGTGTCCACCAAGCCCATTGGGTTTCTGAGTAACAAGGGGGCTTTTACTGGGGGCTTGGGTTCTTGCTCCACAGTGACATTGAGCGGGTGTGATTTGACTTAAGCTCCACCGGTGCCTCTGCTGGTTCCTGTCACCTCTGGCAATCACCCTGGGCCACAGATGCAGTGTTTGAACTCCATTCATGGATGCAAATGGCCTCCCCAGACTGGACCCCGTTCTGGTATACATGGAGACCATTTTCTGTTCTCTTTGTCTTGCAGGATTTAGCTCCCAAAGCATCTATATATTTTTCAAAGGCAGTTACGTCTTAAAATATGTTTATACTTTGTTCATTGTTTCTGTGATTTTGGAATTGGAAAGGAGGAGGGCTGTGTGAACTCACGTTGCCATTTTAATGGGACGTAGCCTCCCGTGCCCACCTACAGCTTTGAAGAAGCAGCTCAGCTTCATGGAGGGTGGATCGCCTTGGCGTTTCGATTGCTATCTTAGCTTGTAGTCAGGCTTGGCTTGATAACTGTACTAACTCTGCCTAATGATAACAATACTTTAAAAAGATTATTGACCTATACTTTAGATTTCTCAATTGAAAAGCTTAAATTGCAAAATGACATAGTTCAGGCATGTATCACCTTCGGTAACAAAGGCAGAGAGGCCACAGAGAATCTCTGAGCATCGCTGAAGTTCCTGCTCTGGTGCACAATTATAGTATTTTTATAAAATTACAAAGAAAGGAAGAGGATGTGATATTTCTCTCTGAAAGGCAACTTCTTTTTCCAGCACAGACTCGGGGCTTGTAATCCCCAAGCCCAGGCAGGGCTTCTACCCTCTGGTCTTTCTGACGGTTGTTCACGTGCAGTGCAGGTGATCAGCCAAAATGCGTTTGAACGAAAATAGCGATTTCTCTCACCCTCAATCCACTTTCTTTTCTGTCCCCCATCGCCACTCCAATTTGGCCATAATTGTACCGTTCCCATAACAATAGCCAAATAACTGGATCTTTGTGGAGGGCTTACAACAGGGTTGTCCACAAAGCTGCTGGCAGTGCGGCACGGATCCTGCATATCAGTGTCTCACAAAAGAGACCGCTGTTGGGGAGAACGCGTCTTGGCAGCTCCGAGCCCAACTTGCAGCTGATGCTGCCGCTGTGTTTCTGAACAGCAGCCCATCTTCCTCCCACGTTCTCCACGGGCACGAGGCCTTCCGGTCGCCACTCCCTTGTGGCCTGCCTGGGACAGTTCAAGATACACTTGCAGAGAGAGACACACAACAGAACTCCTCTGTGTATGTTTTGCCAAATTGCCGCAAAAATCAAAGAATCACATTCTCCATGAGGTCTCAGGGCCGTGCTGCAGGCAGTGTGGTAGCATGACGTCAGTGCCAAGAATGGAGACACGTTCAAGTGCCTCTCTGTATGGAAAGATGGAGAGAGACAGAAAGACAGAGAGAAACACATACAGAGAGAGGCAGAGACAGAGAACAGAGGGAGAGAAAGAGGCAGAAAGAGAGACGGGAAAAAGAGGGAGGAGACAGACAGACAGAGGGGGACAGACAGACAGACGGAGACAGAGAGACAGGAGACCACGAGAGAGAGAGAGAGCACGCTTTCCTTTCCACTGAGCATCTGTGCGGTTTCAGGGAGCAGGCTCGTCGATCAAGGTGGAAGAGCTGGTTGAGTAGCAGCCCTCTTGTCCCGGCCGGCAGGTACATCAAGCCAGGTGTCACATGTCCCTGCCAAGAGCTGTCTCACTCTCTCAGTAATAAATGAGGCAGCCACTGCAGGTAAACTGGGAGCAGAATCCCGCATTCCGTCTGAACTCAGAGCTGGGACTTTGCAAATGGAAAGCTCCCCGTCCCCTTGCCGGGGAGCTGCTGACACACGAATTGTCTTCATCCAACTCTGGGGTGGGGTGGGGGGGTTGGTGAGAAGTTGAGTCCTGCTCACCTTCGATCGCCGACTCTGGGGGTCTGGTGCTAACGACTATGTCACCCCTGGAGCTGCAGGGCTAAAAGCCTTTGGAGGGAAAAGGGAAACTTAAGAGCCCCAAGTCTCCCTCCTGCAGAACGAGATCATGACTGATGCCTCTGGTGGCCCTGGGAGCCCAGCTGGGCTGGGCCGGGGCGCAACCTGCCACCTGGCAGCAAGTGGGCTCAGAGCTGCTGGCCTCAGCTCGGACCCTTCAGAAGGGCATTTCAGAAGCATCGCTTTAGATGAAAATTGGGCTTCCCAGGTGGCACTAGTGGCAAATAACCCGCTTGCCAATGCAGGAGACATAAGAGATGCTGGTTCAATCCCTGGATCAGGAAGATCCTCTGGAGCAGGGCTTGGCAACCCATTCCAGTGTTCTTGACTGAAAATCCCATGGACAGAGGAGCCTGGTGGGCTACAGTCTGTGGGTTTGCAAAGAATCAGACATGACTGAGCGACTAAACAACAAACAGAAGACCATGGCCCTAATGCCTTGTAGAATGTCACCAACCCACCAGGAAGCTGTCTGTGATTGTTACTTAAGAGAAATAAAAGATGTAGTCTTTGCCCTCAGGAAGCTTTAAAATTCCTCTGGGACAAAAAAATCTAAAATACCTGAAATTGTTAGTGAACAGTTGTTGCTGCTGCTGCTGCTAAGTCGCTTCAGTCGTGTCTGACTCTGTGCGAACCCATAGAGGGCAGCCCACCAGGCTCCCCCGTCCCCAGGATTCTCCAGGCAAGAATACTGGAGTGGGTTGCCATTTCCTTCTCCAATGCATGAAAGTGAAAAGTGAAAGTGAAGTCGCTCAGTCGTGTCCGACTCTTAGCGACCCCATGGACTGCAGCCGACCAGGCTCCTCCGTCCATGGGATTTTCCAGGCAAGAGTACTGGAGTGGGGTGCCATTGCCTTCTCCCCAACAGTCGTTAGTGAATGTATATTCAATACTGTGTTTTGGGCTGGTGTCTTAGTCCATGCAGACTGCTAAAATGAACTTACCTTAGACTGGGAGGCTTAAACAATAAACACTTCTCACAGTCCTGGAGGCTAGGAGTCCAAGGTCAAGATGCCGGCAGATTTGGAGTCTGGTGAAGACCGTCCTGGCTTGTGGAGGGCTGCTTTCTTGCTGGGTCCTCACGTGGTGGGAGGCGCGGGGGACCTCTGGGGTCTCTTCATAAGGGCACTGCTGCCGTCCGGCCTCCTTGCTGGCTCAGTGGTAAAGAATACGCCTGCCAATGCCGGAGACACAGGAGATATGGGAGGGTCCCCTGGAGAAGTACATGGCAACCCACTCTGGTATTCTCGCCTGGAACATTCCATAGACAGAGGAGCCTAGAGGGCTGCAGTCCATCACGTCGTAAAGAGTCTGACACGACTGAGTGACCGAACATGTGCGTGAGGGCTCTGCTCTCATGAGCTCGTCATTCCCCATCACCTTGGGGGCTGGGATTTCAACATAGAATTTTGGGAAGACATAAGCATTCAATGAGTCGCAGCTGGCATCTTTTAATAATGGAAGTGAGTGTGATGAGTAGATAGAATTGGGGAAGATTTGAGGCAGGCTATGTGGATTGAAAAACTGAATTCTCCCCCTATCGAAGTGAGGCAGGAATTCTTCCCCTTCTCAGATGAAGACTCTGATAGTTAAGCTAGTAAAACAAATGAGATAGATTTTTTTCATCTTCCTCGTCCGTCCTTCTTCTCTGAGATTAGTCATTAGGCATGGAGGATGGCTCAGAATTCCATGACTACTAGTCACAAGTCCTTTGTAAAGTCATCATAAATTTGAGAGGTTGGTAGTTTTACGGGTGAGTTCAGGGAAGACGTCCTGGAGAGGGGGGCGACCCTGGACGTGCTTCCTGAAGGATGAGGCCGCAAAAGGAGACGTGGCCACAGCACTCACTCATGGCTCCTGCAGAGCAGATCTGTCGTGCCCGGCCCTGGTACGATCCTTGATGTAGATCCCAGTGCATTTAAGAGCTCTGGGGCGCCGTGCGTTTGAATGGTTTGAAACTCCGCGTTTTGCTGATGGGAGTTGAGTACTGTGGGTTTGGTGAGTGCTCAGCCATGTGTGTGACTCGATCACTGGCCAGCCGTCTCCGCGTTTGCCAGCTCCTGACAGAGAGAGGATGGCTCAGCTGAGGGAACAGTGAGTCCCGCTGACCCGTGCCCTCTGGCAGAGTCACTGTTCCTGAGTTGGACCCGCCAGATGTACATCTGTTTGAAGGCAAGAGAGGAAGCGCCTCTTCCCTCGAGCTTCTCCAAGCCGACCAAGATTGCCGGTTTACTGACGGGGCGCAGCCTGAGGAAATGGAGGCCCATGTTTAATGAATAAAAGGCCACCTGTGCAGACCTGCCCGATTCCATGCAACACGTACATGGTGAGGGTCTCCCTCGTGGTGGGTGGTGTGGCAGGTGGGAAGGGCACAGGTGAGATCTCTGCCCTCGAGGATCCTTTTTCAGTGTTCTGCTGCAAGAGAGTGCCTTGCCAGTCATTCAGTCACCCTCTGGCTTGTTAACCCAAGTATTTATTGAGCACCAGCTGTGTTCCAGGCACTGCGCTGAGTTCTGAAACTACAGTGTGCTGCCAAAGCAGAGAGATGCTGGGTGGCTTATTTAAAATAGTGCGAGACGTGAAGCCCAAATCTTCTAGCACTTTTTTAAAGGGCTGAGATAGTAAATGTTGATTTTATTATGTGACTACTCAGCCAGATCATTTCAGCATGAACACGCTATACACAGTATGTAAATGAATGAGCATGGCTGTGTCCCAATGAAATGGTATTTACAAAAACAGGCGTCAGACTGAATTTTGCCTTCTGGCTACAGCTTGCCAACCCGATTGCAAAAGATTACACCCCCAAAACCTAGGACCACAGAGAATTGCAGAAATTGTCTCTAATTGCCATGTGATCCAGCAATTCCACTCCTGGGCATATATCCAGAAAAAACTTTAATTCAAAAAGATGCACGCACCCCTGTGGTTATAGCAGCACTATTTGCAATAGTCAAGACATGGAAACAATGTAAATGTCCATCAACAGATGAGTGAATAAAATGTGGTACAGGCATATGGTGGAATACTACTCAGCCATGAAAAAGAATGGAATACTGCCATTCGCAGCAACATGGATGGATGTAGAAATATCATTCTAAGGGAAGCACATCAGAAAGAGAAAGACAAGTATATGATATCACTTATATGTGGATTCTGACATATGAGACAAATGGACTTATTTATGAAACAGACTCATGGACATAGAGAACAGACTTGGGTTGCCAGAGGGGAGGAGAGGGGAGGACTGGGAGGGTGGGACTCACAGGCGCAAACTGCCGTGCGCAGGACGGACAAACAATAGGTCCTACTGTACCGCACATGGAACAATAGTTCCATGTGATAAGCCATGATGGAAAATAACGTGAGAAAGAATACATGTGTATAACATGTATCCAGTTATATTAATATGCATTATATATAATATGTATTCAATTATATATATTAATATGCATTATGCATATCATATATATTCATACATATGTGAATCAAACTGAGTCACTTTGCCGTACAGCAGAAATTAACACAACATTGTCAATCAGTTATACTTCAATAAAATAATTTTTTAAAAATTGTCTCTAGGAAATCTCTAAGAAGTAACTGGCCAGTTCTGTTCAAGCCTAGGGAATATATCCTATGTGAATCATGTCTGGACAGTTCAGTCATTAGAAAGTCTCTACTGAGTACAGTTTGTTCCTGGATATAGAGAAACTAGTGTCTGTGTTCCACATCTGCCCCAACACAGTCTGTTTAATGAAAACTCGGAAGTGACCTAAATGACCGTTAGTATAAAACACACATTAAGGCTCCCCTGGTGGCTCAGAGGGTTAAGCGTCTGCCTGCAATGCGGGAGACCCGGGTTCAATCCCTGGGTCGGGAAGATCCTCTGGAGAAGGAAATGGCAACCCACTCCAGTACCCTTGCCTGGAGAATCCCATGGACGGAGGAGCCTGGTAGGCTACAGTCCATGGAGTTGCAAAGAGTCAGACATGACTGAGCGACTTCACTCACTCATAAAACAGATAAGTAAATCATAGAATATGCATATAATGGAATATCATAAGCAGTTAATAGATCCATACTTATCAGAATAGATCTCATAAAGCAAAAATTTCAGAATAATGTGAAATATTTGATGTCATTTGTACAAAATTGTAAGATATACAAAGCAATACTGGCATTATTTATGATGGCACATATATGTAGAAAAGTAAAATCAAGAGTTAATGTATTTATACCAAATTTTTGATGCTAACTGCTTCCGGAGAGTGGAGGGAAATAATGGAACTGGTATAGGTGGTAAAGGTAACCTCAATTTCATTTGTAATTCTTTATCTCATTATTAAAATTTTGAAGAAAGGGATAAAAATATGGCCAGGATGTGTTGCTGCTTAGTCTCTACCCTCAGTTCTCATCTTGAGAGTGCCAGGGAGCTGTTGGAGAGTTTTAAGTGGCTCTGTGACACTGTCAGAGTTTTAAATGATCCCTCTGCGGTGGGACAGGTGGACTGAAGGAGTCAGGGTTGGTGTGGCTACGGTAGTCAGTGGCTACTGCAGGTAACACAGGGGTAGGCTGGACAAATGTGGTGGTGGCGGCGGAGGTGATGGTGAGAGTGATGGAGGTGATGGTGAGGGTGATGGAGGTGATGGTGGTGGTGAAGGTGATACTGGTGGTGAGGATGGCGGGGGGGGGAGTGTAGACGTGTTGGTGGGGGAGGTGATGGAGGTGGTGGTGATGGTGATGGAGGTGGTGGAGGCAATAATGGTGGTGAGGATGGTGCGGGGGAGTGTAGACGTGATGGTGGGGGAAGTGATGGAGGTGGTGGTGATGGAGGTGGTGGAGGTGTGGTTGTGATGGTGGTGAGGGTTGTGATGGTGGCTCTGGTGGTGACCGATTGTGCTGGTGGAGATGAAGAGCAGTGGAGGTCTGCAGCATACTTAGAAGGTGAAATGAACAAGATTCAGTGATTCTTAGAGTCAGAAATGAAGAATGAGGAACAAGGACACATCAGATGTATTTTGTAGGTGGTCTGGGAATGACCTGGAGTGGCGCTCAGTTTCACTGAACGTCCGTCTCTGTCGACCTGCCTTTCGTAGTTCAGGATCCCAGTGTGCCTCGGACAGCACCATTCAGGCTCCAGAAACACCTCTGCCTTGCACGCGTTCTTGGTTGCTGTGGGGGGTTCAAGACAGCCGCACACATTCTTTGACAATCTTTCCATCAAGAGATGGGGTTTCTTTCCCTTCCTCCAAGACCTGGGCTGGTGTGTGACTGTTGTGACGAACAACTTACAGGAGGAGTGATGTGGATAACTTCCTCCCATAGCGTCTTGCCTCTGAAGAGGAATCGAGACTCGGTGACGGATGCTCCATCCGCCAGCCTGGTCCCTGGGGTGCCGTGATGCATTGTCTAGTCGTTGAGGGTATTTAAATTACTCAGTCTGAACACTCCTCCCCGTGGAAGAGCTTAAATCCCAACTCAGAGGAAAATACATGAGAAGCAAGGGGCAAAAATCTGTCAGCGGTGCTCTTGCTTACTAACCCTCAGCTCATGGAACGCTGTCTCTTAAGTGAGTGTTCGGTTTGTAAACGCGTATGCGATTTCGAGACTGCACAAAATGAGGAAAATAAGTTGATGATTTCATGTGGTGACTCTTAAAAAATCTAAAGAGTTCATTTATGTTATTCTTGTTAACAGTTTCATTGTAAAGCGGCATTTCTTCCCAGGATGAAAACTCACTGAAACGACACCTTCCTAGGAGCATATGTGCAAACTTTACACTCGGCTAATTTTATATCTGATTAAAACTTAAATGCATGAAGACATCCTTTGGAATAATTAAAGACACTTCAATATAGGCATAGAAATGTGTCCGAGTACATCTGAAATCATCAGAGACGGAGCCGGGGAAATCAATATGGCCTTATGTCATTTTACGGTAATTTAGAAGGAAGCAGAATTTGGCTTTCAAAGGATATGCTTTTCCATTTGGGGTAAAATAAGGTGCATTCTCCGTTTCAAAATAAGTGCCCCGCTCGTGTACAGTTAATGTATGAAGACAATTTATCTCCAGGCTGTTGGTGGGAAAGCAATCATTTAAGGGGCGCTGCGGTTCCCTGGGAAGGGAGCCTCAAAGACAGTTTTGATCCACTGATGAACACTGTCTAATACGCTCCCCGAGGTACAGTTTCCCTAAATCTACTAGACTTTTACAGTCTTCTAGGAAGTGCAGTCTGGAGATGCTTCATCACACTGTATTAACTTGACAATGTAATGGACTGCTCTTTTTATTTTCATAGGAAGTGCTAGGATTTGACCTTGAAACTCTTAACCACGCTTTATAATCCTCAGCCCATCCTGGCATGGAGAGGCCCCTAAGAAAAAAGCCCTGGCAAGAATTGAGTCCGTGAGACTTTGGATTTGAAGGATGGAGACAGGAGGTGTTGGAGACTAGGGGTCCTGGTGGCTCTGTCTGGATGGATGGGGGCAGATGAAGAGGGGAATTGAGTCACAGACAATCTGTGGGCTCTCACCTTGCACCAGACGCTCACATCACAGGACCATCCTGTTTGCTCCTCATGAAGTTGACAGTAGTTTTGCTCTATGGACGAGAAAACGGGCTCGGAGAGGTTAAGGAACTTACCCAAGGATACCTAGCTATTAGGTGGCAGAGCCGGGATTCAAACTCAGGCCCTTAAGAAAATTTTGTTTATATTTATTTTTCATGGGAAGACACTTTAAATATAGCAGTGTGTGCATGCCAATCCCAAACTCCCAGTCTATTCCTACCCCCACCATCCCTCCTGGTAGCCATAAATTCATTCTCTAAATCTGTGCAACTCAGGTTTTTTTGACTCAGAAGCTTGAGATCTTAAGTATGATGCTGTAAGAGGTCATGCTGAAATAAAAACTCTGCTTTTAAGGAAAGTAAGTTGGTTTGGGCTGTGTTTCTGAGTACCTTTGTGTATCATCATGTAATCTTACCTTCACTTACCCAAGCCGATGGCTGAGCTATCCCTTCCAGATTCTTCCCTAGGAAGACAGGACCCTTCCTTGGGGGCTGAGGACAGTGTTGTTGTTGTTCAGTTGCTAAATCGTGTCTCTTTGTGACCCCATGGACTGCAGCACGCCAGGCTCCTCTGTCCTTCACCATCAACCGGAGCTTGCTCAAATTCATGTCCATCGAGTCGGTGATGCCTTCCAACCACCTCATCCTTTGTCATCCCCTTCTCTTCCTGTCTACAGTCTTTCCCAGCATCAGAGTCTTATTACAATGAGTCAGCTCTTCGCATCAGGCGGCCAAAGTATTGGAGCTTCAGCCTCAGCACCAGTCCTTTCGGTGAATTTTCAGGGTTGATCTCCTTTAGGTTGGGCTGGTTTGATCTCCTTGCAGTCCAAGGGACTCTCAGGTGTCTTCTCCAACTCCACAGTTCGACAGCTGGCAGTGTGCCAAGTTCTATTTCCTGCTCTGGGTCTCCAGAGCATGACATTCAGTGGGGCTGAAATGGTCCCCCCCATGAAAACCTCCTGGATGCTGAGCCCATTCAGAGCTTCCTTTTGCCTCCCTGGACCGATTGGGGTTTGCTTCCAAATCCCCAGGGACATCCTAAAGTGCTTGACTCTGTAGAGACCAGTGCCTTTGGATGGTTGAACTGAGATCCTGAGGGTCACGTCAGAGGGGGCCCATCACCATCCCCTGGTGGGTGTGGTCTTTGGCTGGAGGCCGTGTCCCGGTCCATGGTTGGTGCTCCCAAATTTGCTTGCTTCTGCAAGCCATAAAGGCTTTTAATTACTGAAGAATGATTCCTGCGTCCAGCCAATTTATCAGCCTCTGGCAAGAATGAAGAGTCAACTGGCTATGAATCCTACCTGATTACTAATAAGAACTACATAAAATGACACCAGTGCTGAGGAATGCTCTTGCTTGGGCTCCAGCCAGTGCAGTTCTGGGTGGGCCGACCCCAGCTGAAGACAGCGCCTGCTTTCCCTGGTGCAAGGCAGAGGCTCCCTGGAGGCAGCTATTCACAGGGCCGCAAAGGCTCGGGAAGCAGGCGAAGATGGTTTCCAGCAGGTCCCCCAGTGACCCCTCCCCATCCTGGGAGCAGGTTCACTCCCTCCAGGCCATCAGTCCCTTCTCGGGGTGAAGCAGCAGCAGCGCTTCTTCAGCCGGAAGCCCAGGTCTTGGTGTTCTAGGGCGCTCACAGTGTGGGTGATGTGGATTGGAGCCAGGATGCCTGGGTTCAAGTCACATGACAGATACCCCAGGTGCCCACCGGTGAGTCACTGGACAAACTGATTGTGCCGTATCCGTACAACAGAAACTTGTTCATCCGTAAAGAGGAATGAAGCTCTGGTACACACTGCGGACGTGGATGAACCTCAAAAACATGATGCTCGGTGAAAAATGCCAGACACAGAAGGTCATGTATGGTGTGTTTCCAGTTACCCGAAATGTGCAGAACAAGGGGGACTGTGCAGACAGACAGCAGACTGGTGTTACCAGCATGTGTGTGCTTCTTTGTGTCCGCATCTCTGTGACCCCAGGGACTGTAGCCCGCCAGGCTCTCCTGTCCATGGAGTTTTCCAGGCAAGAATACTGGATTGGGCTGCCATTTCCTACTCCAGGGACAGTGGCAATGAGGAGTTACTGCTTGGTGGGTGAGAGCTTCCTTTTGGGATGACAAAGTGCTTTGGAACTAGACAGAGGTGAGGGGTGCACGACATTGGTAGTATACGGAAGGCCACTGAATTTTTCACTTTGAAATGGTTATTTTATGTTATATGGCTTTTAGTCCAAAAAAGCCAAAAGCAAAGCAAGTCAGATCATAACGATGCATTAAATAAGGTCGGAAATGTTTTCCCTTCCAGCAATGGCCAGTAAGACACCTGGGTTTGGATTCAAGGCCAGTCTGGGTTCTAGGAAAGCCATGCACTCCTGGTCAATGTTCAGACAGCTGGCCTCACCCCTGCTCCCTATTTCTTCCTCCCTTGAACACGGCTGCCCTGTCTAGGCCAGGGGTCCCCAACCTCCAGGATCTAATACCTAATGATCTGAGGTGGAGCTGTTGTAATAATAGTAGACATAAAGTGCACAATAAATGCACACCTGACCCCGTGACCTGATCCCATGACCATCCTCCCTCTCCTCCGTCCTGCCTGGGTCTCTGGAGAAATTGTCTTCCACAAAACCAGTCCTTGGTGCCAGAAAGGTTGGTCTAAAGTCACAGGAGCCATTCACTGTGTGGGGATGGGAAGCCCTAGAGGACCACAGGGAGGTGGGCCTGCCTATGCGTGGCGGCTGCTGAATCAACGCTAGTAAGGACCCGCCACTTGTCCTGTTACGGAGAAGAATCAGTTCTTTGTTTAATCCTCTCTAAAAAAACAGCAGAAGCATGGATGGGGAACGCCAGCTGGTGGGATTTGTTCCCCATCTTTGTCTAGACTCCTTAGCGCCTATGAACATTCATGTTCATAACACCACTCATCCTCTTGCTTATATTTCTTCTCTGCGTGCGTGCTGCCTGCTAAGTCACTTCAGTCGTGTCCAACCCGTTGTGACCCTATGGACCGTAGCCCTCCAGGCTTCTCTGTCCATGGGATTCTCCAGGCAAGAATACTGTAGTGGGTCGCCATGCCATCCTCCAGGGGGATCTTGACCCAGGATTGAACTCGCATCTCCTGCGGCTCCTGCATCGGCGGGCGGGTTCTTCTCTACTGAGCACAAGATCTGTGTTATTTCCAATTATTTATTGTTTTCCTAAAAACAATAAACACATTGAAATAAAAACCAGAAGCAATTATCTAGCAAGAGATTGCTGTGGGGCCCTCCAGAAACTCACAACATAGTGGGAGATGGATCTATGAATGAATACAGGGGTCCCTGGGGTATGTTCCAAGACCCTCAGGGATGCCTGAAACTGCAACTAGTACCAGAACCTAGTAGTATTATGTTTCTTCCTACATGTACATACCTATGGTGAAGTTTAATTTATAAGTTAGGCAGAGTAAGAGAATATTTGAACTGCCAGCATCACTACTCTGGCACTTTGGGGGCAGTTATTAAATAAAACAACGGTGACTTGAACGCAAGCCCTGCGATGTTGTGACAGTGAGTCTGATAACAAACACGGCTCTTGAGTGACTAACAGCAGGGTGCGCGGGACAAAGAGGTGACTCACGTGCCAGAGGAACGGAGCAGGGCAGCAGGAGATGTCACCCTGCTACAGACAACAGCACGCAGATGAAAACTCAGGGATTGTCTAGTTCTCAAATTCTCCATTTAGCATTTTCTGATCGTAGATGCCCACAGGTAGCTGAAGCCAAAGAAAGGGAAACGGCAGGTGAGGGGACAGCTGGGTGGCAGGATCGCGTGGTAACCACAGCACGTGACGAGTTCCTGTTGGGGCTGCGCGGGAGCCCAGAGAAGAGGCCCCTGAGCCTCTCGCCCAGGTGGAGGGGGGCTCAGTCCAGGAAGGCCTCCTCCCTGGGCCTGAGCCAGCAGTGGGGCTTGACGAGGAGAGTCCTGGGAGAAGTAGGCTGCTGGGGGCGGACAGGGTGTTAAGTGGCGTGGCCTCCGCTGGGAAGTCACCACTGGTTTGGTTTGGCTGGAAGTGCAACATGAATGTGATCAAGAAAACAAGTGTCAGCACCGTGTTTGCCACCGTCAGACCTCCCTCCACGCTGGACTTGGCCGTGCTAACCTGGCCAGGAGTGGAGCCCTCGGGGGGGACCCCAGGGCTGGCCGCACTGTTGCCCCGAGGAAGGAGAGCAGGGAGGGAAGCAGGGTGCGCTTGAGCATTAATGCAGGAGAGAAGCAGACGAGACGAGCAGCTCCCATAAGATGGGGGCTTGAGGTGAGCGAGCTCCCGCGGGGGCTGGATTTCCTGTTGGTTGTGCTATGGCTACTGGAGGCTCAGTCTCCTTCCAGGCGGGAAAAAGAAGGGTGGATTCACCTTGGATTACAGCGAGGCATGGGCTTTCCCTGATGGCTTAGCTTGCAATGCAGGAGATGTGGGTTTGATCCCTGGGTCAGGAAGATCCCCTGGAGAAGGAAATAGCAACCCACTTCAGTACTCTTGCCTGGAGAATCCCATGGACAGGGGAGCCTGGCAGGCTACAGCCCATGAGGTCACAAAGAGTCAGACACGACTGAGTGACTGAGCCCAAGATGCATTGTGAGGTAAGATAGGGGATGGAGGTGAGGTGGATGGCTAGAGGGTCCCACCATGATGCCCTTGGGTCATCTCTAGCATCTAGGACTTTATCCTGATGGCAAAGGGGGACTTTTGGATCTTGAACAAATGAGCCTCACTAAAGCTCACTTGCTTCTTCTTTAAGATATAGGTCATAATGACACCTGTCTTAGAGTGTTGTTGTGGGTATTACAGAAAACCACACAAGGAATAGGCCTAGCAAATTTCCTGGCACAGAGTAGCCTCTCAATGAATGCTTATTGAATCTGGACCTTTGTCTGCCCCATGTCCTGTTCATCTAAGACCAACCCTCTCTCCAGAGCTGATCCATATTCTGGATCACAGAATGCCCAGGATGTGAGTAACATGATAATATCGTGTTTTACAACCACCTTTGCTCCTTGAGCCA